AAGAGAGTGAGAGAGGTGGAGAGAGGGAGAGGGAAAGATGCAGAGAGAGAGGGAGAGAGGGAGAGAGGGAGAGAGGGAGAGAGGGAGAGAGGGAGAGAGGGAGAGAGAGAGAGAGAGGGAGATAGGAAGGAGAGAAGGAGTGTGAGTGATAAGCAAGTGAGGGCAGGAGAGAGGGAGTGAGAGAGGGAGTGAGAGAGGGAGAGAGGGAGGGAGAGAGGGAGAGAGGGAGAGAGGGAGAGAGGGAGAGAGGGAGAGAGGGAGAGAGAGGGAGACGTAGAGATGGAGAGATGGAAAGAGGGCGAGGGGGCGGGAGGGGGAGATAGAGGGAGAGAGGTAGAGGGGTAGAGGGGTAGAGGGGTAGAGGGGTAGACAGGGTCTTGGTGTGTCATGTGGTCTCTGTTAGGGACTCTCAGCTGTGCATCCATCTGTCTATCCATCATTTGGTCTTGTTCATCCCTCCCTCCAACCTGCCTACCTGCCTGCCTCCATGCCTGCTACAAAGGATTGTTTTGAAAAAGACAACTCCTTTGTTTGTAACATGTTTTCAGGACCAATTTGTATTGGGAAGCACAAGGTCTCCCACTTTTCTGTGGTTGAGCGAGAAGTGCCCTCTGTGCACTTTGCACTTTTTGGTATACTCTTCTGTATTCATAATTTCATATGGCCTCATGGATACATGCACATCCATCATTTTTTTCTCTCTTTTTTCTTTTTTTTCCCATATGCATGATACTATTTATTAATTATATTTTTATTACCTGCATAGGCGTGTCCAGAGAGAAGCGAGAAGGGAAACAGAAGAGCGCATGGCAAAAGGGACCAAGCAAGAGAAAAAGGAACGAAGTGAAGGTAAGGAAGAGAAGGAAGATAAGCAAGGGAAAGATGGGGAGTAGGAGGAGAAAGATGGGGAGTAGGAGAAAGATGGGGAGTAAGGGAGTAGGAGAGGAAAACAGGAAGAACAGGAAAAACAAAGTTATGCCCTCAGACTACACAGGCATAAAATTGAACAGGAGTTTAGCATTTCTTACTCACAGTAGGCTGTTGTGAGTGGTCACGAAGACAAAGGGGCCAAGCAAGGTTTAGGAGCAACTTGGGGGAGGGGGAGGGGGAGGGGGGGCCGACAGTGTAAAATTTTGAGCTGAGCTTTTCTTACTCACAGTAGGCTACTGTGAGAGGTCACGAAGACAACGGGGCCAAGCAAGGTTCGGGAGCAGGCTGTAAGAGGATGGGGTTGGGACTTGAAACTTGAAAGGACTCTAGTCGCAGAAGGTAGAAGCAGGAAAAAAAACAGAGTTACTGCCTCAGGCAGCACATGTACATATCAAACACAAGTCACGCAGCTTACTCACAGCACAGTAGGTACAAAGACAAAAGGGTCCAAGAAAGGCTCGGTAGCAGGCTAGAAAAGGATGAGTGCGGCAGAGTGCCACAACAGTGGAGTACTCGATCCTTCAGCCCGACCGAAGGAAGCATGGGTGTCCTCTGTCGTACTCATTTTGAATTGCCGGGGGAAAAGGAACCGGACTGACGCCCCCCAGAATGGACACGGAGCCAGGACCGTAAACGGCGTAAGGCCCTTTTTTTTTCCTTTTTTTGGACGAGTCAAACTTGATACGAGTTGATAGTACTACACTGATCCTTTGTCAAGCACATTGCACAAAATATTTAGACTCTGTTATGGGATGATCAGGACATGGCTTATAATTTGATTTCATTTCCCTTCGTTGTGGTTGTGGTTGTTGTTGTTGTTGTTGTTGTTGTTGTTGTTGTTGTTGTTGTTGTTGTTGTTGCTACTGCTAGAGGGAAAGAACCGATGATTTCTAGCCTTGGGGATTCTAGTGGACATATATAACATTGGATTTGGGTTCACATTGCTCACAGCTTTGTCTCACCATTTGGGAGTTTCAGCTGCTGCTGAAAACGCCACTTTCTTCCTTGAGTCACCAACAATCTTTCCAGCCTAGTTGTAGCCAGCCAGTCCCCGCGCAATACGCGGCTGTAAGTCCGATATTAATAGATCAAGAATGAAATCATTCAACCACCCCAAGAGTTGGGAAAGGGAAGAATCATGCTGACAGCAGCGTCTCTGTTCGTCTGCGCTGTGACCTCCAAACCAACTCACCTGCAACATTTACCGTAAAATAGAGAAATGCACACAAGTCAGGCGCAGGGCAGCAGACAAGGGGGAACCTTTTGTTTATCATGTCTTCTTCCAGAACAACAGGACGGCTGTAAGGGAGAAAAAGAGGAGAAAAAGGGGAGAAAAAGGGGAGAAAAAGGGGAGAAAAAGGGGAGAAAAAGGGGAGAAAAGAAATAGAAGGGGTGTAAGGGGAAGTTTACTCCAGGTTAGGAAAAAACTGGTTTGGCAATCTGCCTTCCCTTTGAAGTTCAGGCCCAGATATACATGGGTCGGGTTAGGGTGCACAGTTTAAGGGTCTTTAGGGCCTTTACCGGCTTATAGTCTGCAGTTTGGGGTTTATAGCTCATAGTTTAGGGTTTATAGCCTATAGCTTTTGTAGTTCATAGCTTATGGTTTATACTTTAGGGCTTGTGGGTTACTGTTTGGGGCTCTAGGTTTAGGGTTTATTATGTGCACGCCTGCTTATCAGCCCCATTACGGCATTCGTTCTACAGTTGATTGGGAGGGCTTCGGTCTAAAAGCCAAGAGAAGCCCACGATAGGAACTGACTACCTGCCATCCCATAGTGCTTTAGATTGCTCCGAATAAACCCACTACTATCTCCAAGGGCCTCCTTATTCCTTTTGTAGTGACTACAGAAGGGTTCAACTTTCCCCTCTCAGACTGCAGGAAATCGGTGCTGTACAAGGCCTTGCTGTGCAAGCTCTGGAGGTAGTGGTAGTTCAAGACCAGGGTGGAGGCCGACTGGCCGAGGCCCAACCTATCCCATCTCTTTTTTCCACCAAATCCTGGACTCCTCCGAGAGATGTTGACCCCCAGAACAGGTCTCGTTATGGGGTGGCGGCAAGGGTACTTACACACTCCCACGGACATTTGGACCGAGGGTCCTTATCCACACTCCCAGGTGGACCAAGGGTATTCAAACGCTACCAAGGACATGTGGACAAGAGCTACCAAGGGTACTTCTATCCTCCCAAGGACCCCTAGACCCCCAGAACACGTCTCCTTATTGGCGGGGGGGGGGGGGGGAGGGGTACTACACACTCCCAGGGACATTTGGACCAAGGGTCCTTATCCACACTACCAGGTGGACAAAGGGTTCTCACACAAGACCAAGGACATGTGGACAGGGGCTACCAAGGGTCCTTATGTACTCCCAAGGACCCCTAGACACTCAGAACACATCTCCTTATGGGGGGGCGGCAAGGGCACTTATACACTCCCAGGGACATTTGACCAAGGGTCCTTATCCACACTACCAGGTGAACAAAGGGTACTCACACACCACCAAGACATGTGGACAAGGGCTACCAGGGTCCTTGAATACTCCCAAGAACCCCTAAGCCCCCAAAACATGTCTCCTTAGGGGGGGGGGGGGCAAGGGTACTTACACACTCCTCGGGACATTTGGACCAAGGGTCCTTATCCACACTACCAGGTGGACCAAGGATACTCACATACTACCAAGGACATGTGGACAAGGGCTACCAAAACTCCTAAAATACTCCCAAGGATCCCTAGACCCCCATAACATGTCTCCTTATGGGAGGAGAGCAAGGGTACTTACACGCTCCCGGAGACATTTGGACCAAAGGTCCTTATCCACACTACCAGGTGGACCAATGGTACTCACACACTACCAAGGAGATGTTGACAAGGGCTACAAAGGGTCCTTAAAATACTCCCAAGGATCCCTAAACCCCCAAACCACGTCTCCTTGTGGGGCGGCGGCAAGGGAACGTCACTCCCAGGGACATTTGGACTGAAGGTCCTTATCCACACTACCAGGTGGTCAACAGTACTCATTGACTTACCTAATGGCGGCTTGGTGGACGAGGTGCTCCCACGAGTACAAACAGCACACATATGGGTATATGGAGGCAAGAGCATCGGTTGTAGAAGCGATCTCAACTAATACGCATGCTCCCTGGAAGGAGCTCAAACAAATGCTTGCAAAAGAGCCAGACGAGATCAAACGCAACGAACTCTCAGCTAAGTTCTGCTCGCTATGGGTGGAGAAAGCAGAGAGGCTATGTGAACTAGACCAACACAACCAGCTAAGGTGGAAGCCCTGGCCGAGCACAGAAAATCAATGGCAACGTCTACCACGTGACCACGTCGTCATCCCATTCCAACCAACCAACTTCATCCTCGTCTAGGAAAGGGGGAATCAACCCCATCCCTGCATTCTCCCCCTCTCTGCCCCCCTGACACTCCACAACCCCCCTAATGCCACCCCCCCTACGAGCCCCTACCTGCTCCTCCCCACCGACCTCCCCCCCTTCAATTTTTCTTCCTTCCCCCACCTTCCCCCTCTCTGCCCTCGCCCACAGCCCTCCCCTTGTACCTCAAGCTGTATGCCGGCCAAGCATGGACTCCCCCTCCCCGAGCAACAAACAATCTCAGCCAGGGACCAGGAGGAACAGCAGTGGAGACCGGACACGTGGTGCAATGGTTACAGCTCCAAAAGGTTTGCGACGACTAAAAGTGCCAAAGCTGGAGTCTTCAGCCAAATAACACAGCGACCTCTCGGCTGCTCAGTCCTCTTACCACAACAGACTAGCTACAGTAAACCACACACTGAAAGCAGTCAGCATGACAGTAGCGACTGAAGGAAGGTGAGACACAGCAATGACTGACTTACAGTAATGGAAACACATGAGATAAGATGCTATGGCCACAGTCCACATAAAGACCACAATAGGGTTTAAGACTGGTTTAAGGTGGCGGGATCCAGAAGTGACGGAAGGTGGTGCAACTGGGTCCGAAAAACAGACAATGCACATCAATAGCAATAGACTGAAAGAGAAAGCAATTTTATAATGGAGGTGGGAGGGGCAGGTAGGGTAGAAACAATGTACAGTAATGTAGACTCATACACACAACTTAGGATAGCACACAGTAATGACAGAACTCACTGTAATAGAAACATAGGGGAGATGATGGTAGGGCAGCAGCAGCACACAAAGATCATAATAGGGTTGAAGAGCCAAAGGGTTTACAGCAGGATGTACCAACAGCGACGTAAGGTGAAGCGATCGCGTCCAATAAGCACACAGTAGTAATAATACAGCAAATAAGACATTATGGATTGGACCGAAGTGGGATACAGACATGAAAAGAGCCGCTGCAACAGCAACAGTCAGAAATGGAATAGCAACTTTACAATGGAGGAGGAAGGGGCAGGCAGGGCTGGACTAAAGAAAGTAAGCAAACACATACATCATAGGACTGGACAGGGCACAAACCCCTGCTCCACAATTACAAAGGGTTACAAAGAGGTACGACATGACTGATGCAAGACCAACACAATGTAATACTGTGGCACTGGGCCCGTTTCCAAGCAGGTGATGCTCCCCACCAATAGATGGAGCCTTGACACCCAGGGCCTTGCTTAGCGAGGTTGATCTTATCAACTTGCTAAGCAGACCCCCCAGACAACGAAGTTTCTGGAAGGAAAAAAAAAGGGCACAGGTGTGCAGCCCGTAGTTTGTTTGTTGATGTGGTTGGGGAAGGGTAAGGTAGGTGATTATGCTGCGTTTATGTTTTGTCATGTTTGCTATACACTACTCCAAGTGTGTGTGTGTGTGGGGTCCGGGCTGGTGCTTTATTCACGATGTTCATGGGACGCTGGACCCGGTTTCCAGCAGGTGTCACTCCCCACCAATGGACAGGAGCATTCTGTCGTAAGTCCACTATAGGGGGATGCTCATATCACCTCCTCTATTGGGCTAAAGCGGAACTTTTTGAGGGGGGGGGGAAAAAGTGTGAGTGTGTGTGCTGCACAGGACAAATCGAGATAAAATAAGGAAAGTAGATACAGTCGATGACACCGGAAACTTGTAGGAGGAATTGCAGAGATGGGCCGCAGGCCTGCACACCGTGGGAATCTCAATGGGCAGGCAGGACCGCTCGGGCAGGACCGCTTCGTCAAAACTTAGGCGAGAGGGATGACTCCTTGTGAGTAGTGCTGACTGTCGGTGCTGTGGGTGCAGGTTGGCATATGCGATGACCGCTGCCACCGGCCGGACTCCAGAGGGTGCAGCTCAGGAGGGATCGCAACTTGCTGTGGCTGGGCAAACGGCAGTCACATATACTGTTGCAGGGCCGAGTGCGGGAGCAGGTGGGACGGTGACGCAGTTCTCCAACCTGGGTGAGTGACCTGTCCCACAAATACCTGCCATAAATCTTGTGTTTGAAGATTGTATGCCATAGATAGTCACGGTATCCTAGAAAGGAACCGAAGTCAAAAAATGGTCCTGCCGCTGACTTAGAGAATCAGTGTCTATGAAGTACCTTGAGTCCTAGTCTCAACAGAAAAGTCCCAAAGAAAGGCACCCACCGATAACTGTCGGAAAAGACCCTGGCCGACCATGATGTGACCAACAAAATAAACTGAAGTAGGACAGTTATGGGTGTACATGTGTGTATGCGAGAGCGAGTGAGTGAGTGTGTGCTACGCGCGCGCGCGCGTGTGTGTGTGTGTGTGTGTGTGTGTGTGTGGGTGGGTGGGTGTGGGTGTGGGTGTGTGTGTGTGTGTGAGAGAGAGAGAGAGAAGGAGAGGCCTGCAGCATGCAACATGTCAGTGGCGGGGAGCACAAGGGCAGGCGCTAACCTCGAAGAAAAAAGAAAAGGTAATGCTCTATTTGAATACGAGTTTTTCTTTTCAAAATTTGAATAGGAAAGATACGAGTTCTACTCGAATACAAACCGTACCCCGTCTATTCGAAGTGCTCTTCTATTTGAGAAAAGTGGACCCACGCCGTTTCGATTTTGAAATGTTCAACTCAAGGACCGCGGCCTCCTCAGCCCACTACGGGCAGCTACCGGTCCTCCGTAACCAACAACTGCCCGTTCCCTATGAATCGCATGCCCCAGCAAATTCACCACCCTTCCAACTACCATTCGGACCCGGACGGACGATCGGTATGACGAACGACGAAAAATTGACTCATGGGTATAAAACGCAACCCTGACGGGCT